AGGAGGGGAAGAGAGGAGGGGGATGGGGGTTGGGGCGCGAAGCCGCTGCCGCCGCTGTTCTAAGACTCTGAATATAGCCGCAAGTCAAGAGAAGGGGGGTAGAAGAAAAGGGAGGGGGGACTTACGGCTATATTCAGAGTCTTGAAACGATCTTAACCTTTACATTTAGGGTGGGGAGAGGGGAAAAGGAGGGGAAGAGAGAAGGGGGGATGGGGGTTGGCGCGCGAAGCGCGCAGGGGGCATAGCCCCCTAGTATATATATATATTTCTCATAGCGCAGTCGTTACTATTCAGCGCAGCCATTCTAAAATTTTGGTTATTGCTAGATCATATTTTATATATTTTCTTCTTTTAAATGTGTATTTTTCCTCTTATAGGCGATATGAACAGTATAATATTAATTATATATATATATATATTTCTCATAGCGCAGCCGTTACTATTTAGCGCAGCCAGTTTACAATTTTTGTTATTGCTAGATCATATTTTATATATTTTCTTCTTTTAAATGTGTTTTTTTTCTCTTACAGGCGATATGACCATTATAATATTAATTATATATATATTTCTCATAGCGCAGCCGTTACTACTCAGCTCAGCCAGTTTACAGTTTTTGTTATTACTTGATTATATTTTATATATTTTTGTTAATGAGGGAGAATATTTTATATATTTTTTTCTTTTAAATGGTTTTTTAATTCTTTCTATGCGATGTGATCAGTATAATAATAATTATAATATTTTTTTATGGCGCTGCCGTTACTGTTCAGCGCAGCCATTTCCAATTCAATGATTTAATTTATTTATAAAGTAGAGTTAGTAGATTTCTTCGTAGTCGAATTTTTTTAAAACATGTGTTAAATATTATTGTAATACTTCTTGGTAAACAATGTTTCTTACATAAATTTCTTTTTCATTGCCTATCTTTTTTTTTATTCCTTTTTCGCTATGTGTAATACTTGAATTTTTATTTAATAATACTTTAAGATTATATTTTGAAGTTACTCTTGATAAAGCAACATATAATTGTCCGTGACTAAAAACATGTGAAGGAAGGTATATGCCTACTTTTTGGAAAGATTGGCCTTGAGATTTGTTGATTAACCCAGATAACAAAATGCGCGCACAGTGATATCACTGGCAGTCGCATTAGTGCGAATTAATTCGCACGTGTGATCTCATAGTCACATGCCGATGCGTCATCCATGGAGGCTCATATGTGTCTCACGCGTGAGATCGCATTGATGCGGGTCAAGTGCGAGCTATATGCGAGTACACTTTTTGGGATTAGAAAAATTATTTTATTAAATAAATAGGCACAAATAAAGGAAATGAACTGTTTATTCATTTATGAACACAATGAAACATATGAACAATTAAAAAGAACATATTAAATGTATAAAAAAAACATATTGAACAATACAATGAAACATTAAATTTAATAAAAAGTTATATTAAAATTGAGCGTTTCGGTATAATAATTGGTCGAGCGCTCGGCTGGATGGCCTCAAGCCGGTCATAAAAAAAATGAAAAAAATCAAAATTTTGAATTTTAATTTTTCTTAATTTTTTGTGCGTTTGACTGGCTTGAGGTCGTCCAGCCGAGCGCTTGACCAATTATTACATCGAAACGCTCAATTTGTGATACTAAGATGACTTAAAATTACGCGTACAAATAAACCGTTTTCGTAGTTCTAATAATAAAAAATATTTTGCAACGCTACACATTAATAATACTTTATAGTTTCAGTCTTTGGTAAGCCGTACCTAACAATATTTATCTTTTAGTACCACAAGAATAATTCGAACACAAATGGTCTAAAATTTGTTAAACAATTTTAACATTGTATATAATTTTTAGTCAATCTGAAATTAATATAGGTTTAGTAAACATTTTCATTATCAACTACGTTTTTGAATACTTAAATATGTTTTCATTCTTTTTAAAATGGTTTTATCAAGAGATAATAAATTAAATTGTCAGAAAGTTATTTATTTATATATTTAAAGTGCGAAACTTTTCTTGTAAAGTGTTAATTTTTTTTATTAAAAGTGAATTTGTTACTGTATTAAAATTGTTAAATTATTTAAAGCAAAATTTTTCTGTAACCTTAATCTGTTACTATTCTATTAAACACAAAAATAAAAATTCAAACATTAAATTCTAATTTTTGAAAATTTTTTGGCCAAAAATCATAAAACATATTCATAAACTTAATCTCTTTTAAATTAAATTCTAACTGAATTTTTGTTTTGAAGTTTGAGCTATGGTTAATTATTATGATCAAAATAACTTCAATCCAGACAACAAAACAAAAAGTAAATCAGAATTAGGTTAATTTTACACAATTTTTAAAGTCAAATAAATTATTAACAAGTCAAGCTAAAGTAAAAAGATGTTTCGTGTTTTTATTGTACAAGTTGTACTGAGTTGCTATGGAAAGGACTATTTTTAATTTTGTAATCAATTGTCTGTCTTAAAAAATATTTATAAATCATATTTTCAATTTGAAAACCATTAAATAATAATCAAAATGTATGCTAAAGTATTATATATTAATTTCAGGTTTTTTAAAAATTCTCTAGCCACCAACTCTAGACGACTTCAGATCAACTGACCTTAATATTAATTAAATTCTTTCATAAAGAAATATGTATAAAAAAAAGTAATAATTTTTAGACCTTATCGGTAATTGAAAACAAGTAATAAAATTTAAAATTAATTCTGAAATATTACGCATCCGATTCAACATCTCCTTCGTCACTAAATTCGGAATCGATTTCCTCGTCGTCGTCCAAATCCATATTTTCAGATTCCAATCGTTGCATATCACTCTCGTTGTTTCCACCAGCACTAGGCTCCGTTGGTTTTTTTAGACCTTTTCGAAATCGTTGTTTTGTAACTCGTAAAATTTCTTGAATGTCAGTTTTAAAGTCCAGTTTATTGGATCGAGCTCTTACTCCTATCCGCTGATTTGCTGCAACTAAAATATTATTTATTTTTTAATTGAATATTAATATGTTAATAATGCATGCATTATATTGATCTTACGGTATAAAGTGTTGCAAACTCTGGTGTCACCAAGTTTTTGGTACGCTCCTTTTCCATCCCATGACAATTGGTTAATAAGTTCATCGGTAAACGTTTGTTTTACTGCACAATTTAAGAAATCTCTTAATCTTGGACCTCCTAATGCCACTAAATGCTGAAACTAAAATGCAAAAGTTTAAAATTAATAAAACAGAAATCACACTTGATTAGTAGTATTGTGCCATATTAAGTTGAAAATTATCAGTGAAAAGAAATCTTTCTTATATTAATAATATTTTTATGGGTAAAAGTAACAATACTAATTTTTTTGACAATTAATTCGCTATTTTGTAAAATACATAATTTTTATTTATGCATTAAAATTGCATTTTAGTATCAATTGTAACTAACTATATTTAATTATAATTTATCTAACAATATATGGACTTCAGCATGAAAAGGGACCAAATTGGCAATATTGGACTTATCTATATGGGTGAATTCTTTGCGAAATTTAGAAAATTTTGATTGGTCTTAGACTCTTCTAGATGAAAAATTCACAAAGTTACAGGGATTTAAAGTTATAAGTATCAATGAACTAGTTTTTAGAAAAAGGAGTTTAAAATTAAAAAAATAATTATTACGTACTTATAATTACAACAAATTATCACAAAGTCATGATTCAACGCGGGATACTCTGTAAATTGTTTTCCATCAAACATTTTAGTCATTTTTGGATAATAGCAATTATCTCCTAAAATAAAACCAACAAAGTGGTCCCTTTTTCTGCGAACGTCTACATATATTAAACTTAATTTTGAAAATTAAAATTAAATTTCAGGTTGAACTTAAAAGGTATGAAATCTTGACACAAAAATTCATAAGCAAATAATTGAGGTTTATAAAACAATTATAGTCTTTCTTACCAATTTTTTGCGTAAACTTTTTTGCTCTTTTTCGTTTAGATAAATAAACTGATCGAGTGTATTAATAGGAAAACCATTAAGTGGCTCATACAAGGTGTCATCAAGATTTGCTTCTCCTATTGTCTCTTGTGACATTTTTTCCAGGATCTGTTCATTTTGAAGTATTATCTTATCATTTTGATTTATTATTCGTTCATTTTGTTCGTATGTCCTTTTCGTATCACTGTATACCAAGCTGCGTTTGTACAGAAAGACAAAAAAATACTTGAATTAAGAAAGTTACGTAAAAATACATAATTTATCACAATTAAATATTCATGAGGTATATATTAGTTACTTTAATTCATCGTTTTCTTTTTGAACTTTATAAGAATAGATTTACATTTAAAAAAACATTCTTTCAGAAATGGCTTAAAATTTTTTTTACGTCCACTTACCCTAATGCTACTACCGTTTTCTTCATCTCTGATATCAAGAGATCTGCTGTTTCTTTATCAAGCACCTGAATGTCCAATTGATAATTCATTTCATTAGAAGAATTATTTCCATTTAAAAACGAATGAGCTTCAGTTGGCGAAGAAACGACACTATTTATCTTTGAACTATCTGAAGTAATTAAAAATTCATCGTTCTGAGATGGTGATTCCATGTGATTATTATTTTTACCCGAAAGTGAATGAACTTGATTGCGGTTAAAATTGATATTGTTTATCTTCAGAAATGCACTGCTCTTGGGATCAGAAACTGGGGAAACGACTGGTGATCTCCTGTTAAAAAAATTGAAAAAATGATTTGCAAAAGAGTATGTGTAATTAATTTCTAAACTATTTAACTGCACTGAACGATATATAGTTTTGAATAATAAAATAAATAATGTAATTTATGTTTCAAAAGATCCATGTGACAATGTAATTATTGTAGAAAATACTTTCTACTTACTTTTCACGCGAAAAAGATTGCGAGGGAACTGTTTTAACTATTTCTGGTGGATTAGAACTGCCTCCAGATTTTGGAATGTCTGCTTTTGGTGCTGGGACCATGGAAGAGTGAGTTTCAACTTTGCTTGCTTTTGATACAAAGTCGTTCGGTTTTTGAGTCCATTTTGTTTTTTTACTGATGCCAATAGTTTTGTCTGCTTTTTTGCATCCTTCTCTGCCGCTGATTCGACTTTCCGTAAATTATTAGGCATAACTTGTTTTGCTAATGCTGTCAAATGTTCTATCTGCTCTTTAACACTTTTGTGATTCTTAGATATTTTTTCCGAAGGTGCATCGTCATCGGTCGTCAAAAGATTTTGAGGGGTTTTAATTTTCCTACCACTGGTAGTAGTCCGAAGTGCTCGTTTTGCTTTACTTTGTTCCGATCCTATTAAAGTTAAAAAATGTGACATGGTGCTGCTAACACATAGAAAATATTTTACAAAATTAGTTAAAAGCTTGTATTTCACTTCACAATAAAAATAATTAAAAAAATTATGAAACACCTATGTGTCGTAATTGCATTAGATTATAAATTAAAAATAATTAATTTTTATTAATATCCAACATTGAAAGATAGAAAAAGTAACAGTTATTTAATATTTTTAGTTGTAGCGAAATATGAATTTTCTGTCAAAACGCAACAATTTCTTGAAATTCAACGTTTTTTAATATCCCAGATAACGCAAAATATGAGTAGCAAGATTCAAAATTTATTTTTGTATGGGAAAAAAAAGTTTTTATTAAAATAATCTTTTTTAATTGAGTTTGGCTTAAATCAATAAAATAAATTGCATTAAAAAATATAGTGCTATATAAAAGTTTTACAACTTTGAAATTTGTAACATTACAAAGCTTGTGGCAATTTTATATAGCAAATTTACTTTTAAGAGGACACTTAAAACTATTTACAATGTTAGTGCAAACATATTAGCTCTAGGATGTTTGTCTTTTGGACTGTCACTTTTTTAAAGAAGTTCTGATTTCAAACTCTGCTTTTTAGTCAACAAATTATTATTAATGTCTGTAATAAATATTTTGTATATATTAAATTGTTTGATTTTCTTAATATAAATTTTGTTAATCTATTATACATAAAAATATAAGTAGACGATAATAAAAAATAATAGACAATTTAAAAATGTGCTTCTATTCAAGTGCAATTTCATGATTAGGAATAATAAAATCAGAATCTCATTTGGATAACAAAAATAAAATAGCTTGTATTTTTTAAATATTTAATTAACCAGAATAAAAATATTTAAGAAATAGACTAAACTCACCAGTTACTTCTATATGATATCCACTGAGAAATATTGTAATCAAGAAGTAAATGGTATTAATTTTCTGGCCACACTATCGTTGATAGAAACAAAACGCATATCCAATTGTTTTCAATCACTACTTCTTCCCTTCCATTTGCACTGCTCTATTTAGGCATTCTGTAAACTTTACTTTTCACATCTTTGATATTAACTGCTTCAAGCCTACGAGATAAATTTGAACAATTAAATACGCCTGCAACGTCCGACGTGATTCCAATATTGTATACCGGCAGGGCAGTTCGAAAATGTTGAACAATAAAAAAAGTTTGGTCTCCATAATTTATTATATTTTTTATGAGACAAATTCTTGAATCTTCTAAGGCGCAGCAGCTGTCACGCAGACTCGTTGCAAATCTGAATTTACCAACTTGCAGGTTGTGAAACTGGTGCCAAACATTAGCTGGAAAATCTCCTAAAAGTGGTCCTTCAGCATGTGGTTGTGTGAACTGAATGCCAGTATCATCATCGACAATTGCGGTATTAAAATCCTTCTCACAAAGTCTTTTATATATTTGCTGAAGACTGAGATGTGGTTTCCGAATTAATTTTCGCATTTCTGGCATATTATTTTCAAATGGAAATGCACTGAATGAATCCAAATTACCCAATGTTTCGACATCTTCTGTCATGTGCAAAAGACAATGCAAATTGTACGAAAGAAACTGTCGTCCGTACAACCTGGCACACAAAGTTACGTAACTTTCGCAAGCTCCTTGGCAAAAAGGATACATTTCACGTTGTGTCTCGTCTGAAGCAAGAAGTCGGCTGGTGCAATGAAGAATCATAAAATGCTCATAACGATCGTTTGTAAAGATATCTTGTAGAACAGCCGGAGAAATGTAGAGAAGAAATTGTCTCAGTTCAGTCGCTTTAAATGTATGAAGCATAGAAATTTTGTTCGGTTGACGATTGAATTCTGATGGGCAGTATGCCTGCAATTGTTCCATTCTCGAATCAAAAATATCCAATTTTCTACCATCTAATCTTCTCTTTCCAAATTTTCCATGAACATGTGCATTTAATACTTTTCTCGTGTTTCCAAGATACAGAAGGTGCATCGGTTCAAAAGGCACTCGTCTCACTAAAGGTACAAACGGAGACAATGGACTTCTACCCTTGTGATGATCTTCGTCCTCAAGAGCTTCATATTCTTCGTCTGTTCTCGGGGCGTGCCTAATTCCTTCGAAAACCGTAGTACGTGGAAAGCCTGGCACATTGCGATGCCCTATCACTTTACATTTAGAGCAAGCATTGGCAGAATTGTGAGCGCAATGATTTAGTGCGAATGCTCTGGCCAGTGCATCAGCTATTAAGCTTCGAAATGTCAGAGGGATTAAACGATTTCCTATTATGATACCACCTTCATCATCAATTTCCCTGAATTCCTCTACCAGTGGCTCATAAAAATCAAATGGATTGGATGGTTTATGCCGACCTTTAAAAATACCTGCTGTAATGGGTCTTTTATCACCAACATTGTTAATACGGTACTGATGAGGCCACAACTCATGTGATCCATTGTGAATACTTGCACCATCAGTACTTAGGTCAATCTCAAAAAATTCCGGCAACATATCTTCTGGAATCGTTTCCAATTTTTTCAACAGTGTTTTTTTAAATCCAATGTGAAGATACTCTCCTCCTGCAACGTTTTGAACTATGTTACTTGCTACTATAGCAGGGGTATTCAATAATGTTCTAACGTCCTTCGGTAAATAAGTTAAATTAAAAGGAGGTTCTCCTAATGTTCTTAGAATAATATTCCCTTGGGTATGTTTTAAGTTAGCAGCGAGAAATGCGTTTTTTAGAATCCTTTTATGTGCAATCAGAGGATTCCGATCAATATGTACATTTTCTTCTCTATCTTCAGAACTTGTTCCATCACTATTGTCATCATCGTCGTACACATCGTCTTCATCGTCGTTATCATCATAGTCGAAATCATCCTCATCATTATCATCATCATCATCCTCCTGAAAGTCTTCGTCTTCTACTATTTCATTATCATTATCATGATCATTGCCATTATCTTGTGATTGAAGTTCTTCACGATTATTTTCGTTGTTAAAATTAAAATTTTCAATGTCACCGGAAAATGTACTTGTTACAAAAAAAGAGGTATTGGAACCAGATGTAGATGGGCTTGAAATAGTTTGGACGTCAATGTTCCCACGAAGTAAAGAGGTTCGTCTTCTTTGCTGCCTCAAACTAAGTTCAGAGAAATCTTTAAATTTCTCAGACATATTTAACTTACAGGTCCTTCTCAAAAAGTTTGTAAACTTCATATGAAAAAAAAGATATTAATTGTCAATTTACTTATTTATTATTTATTTTTATTTCCAGGTCAAATTCCATAACATTCAAGTAAAATTATAAATTTTATCTCAGCATCGTATAAATCAAATTAATTCAAACATATCTATTGCAGAAATTTATTATTTAGATTAAATAATTTTTTAAAACTTTTATTATAAAAATATTTCTTTATGTATTTATTAAAAGCAAGTTATATTAATAATTTTTTAAAAACAAATTAATTTTTTTTCTAATTCAGACAGTTTTAAAAAAATTGTTTATTAAATACCTGTAAAAAAAGAAAATTTGGAAAAGGTTTTGGTTTAAATATATATTTAATTTACAGGAAAAATGTGTCACACACGCGAAGTTACGATACAAAAGTTGGTGCTCTCCTAATTGTTTGGATGTAAAAGTATTTTTCAAATCAAGAAAGAATTTTTTTTTAATTTTCCATTTTTATGTTGGAAAAGGAGGGAGTAGGGGTGGGGGGATTTGAGGTCTCCGAAAAAGGATTACATACTTATTGTTTGAACAACCCAAAATATTTTATTTTAAACAATTAAGGGACAAAAATAAAAAATTAATTAATAAGAATAAAATCTTTACAATTTTATGTAAGTCATTCATTCAATGAAATAACACTCTAAAAAAGTCGGGATTTCAACTCATTTGAAGGCTGAATTTAAGGAGTTATTGATTTCCAAAATTGCTGAATTTCAGCAATATGTTGCCAGTTCCAAACTTTTCAGACTTTTTTTTAGTGTGAAAAGAATATTAAAATATTTTTTAAGCACGATATATCCTATCGGATACATAAACAATGCATAAAACAAAATTGTCTGTACTTTTAAATTAAACAAAACGTTTTTTACACAATTTAAAATTTTCAAATTTCTTAATTTAAACATTTTTTTAACTTAAAAATATTTTGTTGGAAAGACAGAGTTTGAAATCGCAAATAGACAAAATTAAAACTATCTGTAAAGTTATAACTTAAAAATCAAATATCAATTATACACAAAGAAAAAAAAACTCAAGGTGTAATGTCGGTTCTACTGATAGACGAAAACAAATTTAATAGATATATTTATGAATAAGTAACAATAAAGGATTCTTAAATACAATCTTTCGGTATTAATAACATATCTAAATAAGAATAAAGTAGTTAATTCCTATATCTATTTTAATAAAGAAATGTTTGGTTAAATGAGATTTTTCGTTTAAATTATTATATATAATTAAGTTTTTTAGAAATCGCAATACCATTTTTCTTTGTAAAAGGTAAAAAATGTAAATAAATTTTCAGAAATACGCGTTTCAAAGGTGCGAAACAAAAACTGTTAAACAAAATAATTGTTTATTATAACTAATAATTACATAATTATTCCATGTATGAAAAATAAAAATTTTATATTCACTTATTACAATTAAAACAAATTGAGTTTTGAATTCAGTAAGGTTCGAATCAATGAAAGTTTAAATTGACTAAATTTGTGGTTAATTAATAATTTATATAAATTTAAATTTATTTCAGTTCTATATAATTTAATTAAAATTAAATGAAAATTACATCATTTTAAATTTTGAAAAACAAGATTTAGATGATGTATTATAATCTCTAAAAATCAATTGTTATCGAAAATTTGTTAACAAAAAATCTTTATTAATTTAAATTAATATAAAAATTTCAAAATTCTCGTCAAAAAATATTTAGCCAGATATATTAATTACATCTCTTCTAAAATAATAATTATTGTTTAAAATTTTTTATCCAAAATTCTATTCCAATAATTGATCATTTTAACTAATAATTATCTTAATAAAATTCTACTCTAATTGCATTATTTTAAAAATAAGTTTTTAAAAAAATTTTTAAAATTCATATACCTATTACCAAAAATTCGTGAAGAAAATTTGTAGCATTTCAAATACCAAAACGTTAAGCTTAAATCTCACAAATGAAAGTTAAAAGTTATTTCGATAATTTTCCTTTGAATTCCATTTTTAACATGCACAACTACTTCTTTTTGAATTATAAAATCTCTATTTGTAATCGTCAATGTTTCGATTTTGCTTATTTATCTTTCATCTGATAAAAGTTGTTTATTTTTTTCTCAAGATTGTATTGAAATAAAATTTTCACTAAAATTTAAGTGAGGTTATGTAGATAGAAAAAATGTACTTACAAGGCACGTATATTTTTGCTAATCTCGCATCAACAATTGGTTTTTCAAAATAATGCTAATTCACCATTTACTAGAATTAAAAACTTATTTGCAGCATAAATGTTATTTATGCAAAATAAAAGCAAGAGAGCCACGAGGAGAGGAAATCACTGTATGACACTTGTTGTGCTTGTTGGTAACGTTTCCGCTGCGCGCACAGGAACTGACGACCATATTGGACATCTTAAACGCGGGCTTATGCAAAATTTTTCAAATTCATATTTAGAAATAATAAAATAAACTAGTTGGAAACTTACGCCTATTTCCGTATTTAAGTATATATAATTAGTCAAATTCTTATTTTATCTTCTTTATTAATTTAAAATGCAAAGTAATATAAAAATTTTAATAATTAAAATTTCTGTTTATAAAAACTTATATACTTTAATTATTTAATTAGCGTAAATTATTTTGTTATAACTGTAATAATTAAAATATGTTAAAATTGTTATATTCATCTTTATAATACTTTTTTAAATAACAGATTTCTCACAATAATAATTTAATAGAACATTATGTGATATTAAAATTTTATTTATTCTAATTACAATGAATTTTGAATTATAAATTAATAAAATTTTTATTACGTAATCAGCAATTAACAAATATTTATTTTATATAATTATATAATTTTTTTAAAAAAATTGTGAATTAATCAAACACGTGTTTTTAAAAACATCAATCATGTTAATTAAAATATTTAAAAATATATTTAAATTAAATAAAGTATCACTAATTTGTTCACGCTATTATTAAAAATATTGAAAAACACATTTAAAAGGCATTTTTATAAGATCGCATACGTGATCGTCAAAACAGTTGTTTTTACTAGCACGAATGCGACCGCACTAAAATGCGTCGCATTGACATAGTGATTTTGCATGCACTTCGTGAGACTCACGAAGTGCGATTAAAGTGCGACGCACGTTTGTTATCTGGGAATTGTTAAAGCAAATCCAAGCCTTATTGGAAATTGCTTTCTTGACATTTGAAATGGTATTTCTTCGTTAGACGGTGACAATGTAATTCGTGGCAAAATTACAATCTCATTTTTATAATTTCCCGTTAGTACTTGTGCATGAATAGAAAAACTACCCATTTTAATAACTTTTAGTCTTGTTCCATTACAAAGACCTCTTTCTAAATTAATATTCCTTAAAAGTATCACAATTGCACCAATCTTTAATATTAATTTGTGAGGAGGAAGTCCATTTGGAGTTAAACTATTTAATACTTCAATTGGTATTAAGTTAGTTATTGTGTCACACTTTTCATCTTCTTCAGATGAATCTATACTTAAATATTCTCTAGGTTCACCTGTCATTCGTTTAACAACATCATTATTTAATTCAAATACATCATTATTCCGGAGAACTAGTAATATATGTAAAATCAAACAAGAATCTCTTTATAACGGTTTACTATGGATAATAAAAATAAAAACCGATATTTTAAAAAGTATTTCGATTTATTACGAACATTTTTCTCAAAAATTTGCAAAATCTACATGTGTTTGTGGGACAATTTACATCAATATAATTTAAGATAAAAAAAATATATTATAATATAATATAATTAATATTGTTGTCATAATTATAATAAAAAAAAATCTAATATTTAACAATTGTCATTTCATCCTTCAATTCATTCATTTCGTCCTGTAATGAATAAACTTGGTCTACCAACTTGTCGATTAATAGTCATGGCATCTTGATATATTTGATGCATATGTCTAGGACTACCAATATGGGTTGATGGTAGAACGAACATATTTCCCAAACGTTCTTTATTTCTAAAGTTATCAGAATTATTAAATGCACTCAGCGAAATGTGGTCAACTAAGCCTTGATAGCATTCTATCCTTAATTTATTTTGATTATAACGAAAATAATTTAATCTATTACTCTCAATATTTATAAAAGCCTGAATAACATACTGTTGAGTAACAAAACAAAATTGGATTAAATTTTAAATGAGGCCGAAAAGCTAATCTATAAGAATAGTATTGTAAGGCAGATAATCTTTTAGTACTTCGAAAATTTTGTTTAAAATTTGGACTCCATCCTAAATCACCAGATGGAAACATAACGGGAAATGTCATCGGATCTAAATGAAATGATAATTTACTTAAAACTGTTTCTTCCTCTTTTTCACTTGAAATTTTTTTTGGTAAACTTTCAAATCAATTTCTGAAGGTATTTTGCCACTTTTTGAAACGATTAATGCCGCACACTCACCAGTTTTTGGTTCATTATATAAATGTTTATTTAAATTAATTTTACGTACAAAACATAACAAATACTCCGAAATCGAATTTTTTTAGATAACTCATATAATGATTTATATTTAACAGCATACGGATTTTTATTCATAATATTTGTTAATAATTTCATATGTTCTTTAACAAAATTTTTATTTTTTCTTTAATCTTTCTAAAGTTGCGTTGTAATCATCATAAATATAAATTTGCCCTAAAGAAGGCCTTATTCCTTTTTTGACAAAAATACTATTAGGTGTTGTATGATAAACTTGACCATGAATTTTTAAATTATAAACCCCTTTATTCAGAAATTTTACCGTGTGTGCATTAAAAGTTACAAATGAAAATGCATTATTATAATATCTAATTAATTCCCTAAAATGTTTGTCATATAAAAGACGCTTTAAATTTTTATCGTAATCTTTTAAGGGTGAAAGTTTTATTTTACCACCGTGACAACAACTTTTCTTTGAAAATTCGATAGACCAAAACATCGCTCCACAATGAGGACATTTAAAATCCATTTCCCCAAAATCTGAAAAATTTACTTTTGATTTACAATATTTTGAAATTAATTGATTTCTTCTTCTTTTATCTACTCTTTCATTAAACATGTAACCTGCTTTATCCTTTACTCTTTTTTTACTTAACCGTTCTTCATCCATATTCTCTACCAAATCCGTCTTTCTCTTTTTATGTAATCGTTCCACATCCATATTCTCAACTAAATCTGCCTTCCTTTTCTTATATGATCTTTCTGTATCCATATTTTTTACTAAATCTGACTGTTTTTTCTTCTCTATTCTTTCACTGTTCATATTCTTAACTAAATCTGCTTTCCTTTTCTTATTTAATCTTTCTGTATCCATATTTTTTACCAAATCTCCTCTTCTTTTTTTATCTAATCTATCCTTTGTCATGTTACAAACCAAGTTATATTTCTGTTGCCTTTCCTTAGATAAATCATTCGAAATATTCATTTGCCTTTTTAATAATATTGACTCTTTATTTTTTTTATATTATAATTGATTGTAATTTTTTTCATGATTTTTTGAATAATTTTTATTGAAGCAATTTAAAATATCATAATGACCATTATCTACACTACCCGATAATAAAAGGATCAGTTTATTGTTATTACAACTGTCACCAAATACTCTTTTATTATTAAAAATACTGTGATGTACTTCTACATAAATATTGTATAGATTTACAAATGCTTGAATTTCGACCTCACCTCCATAATTACCATTTTCCGACATATAACATTTGTATAAATTTTCATTTGATAAAATTTGATTATAAGATTTATCTCCTACTATAAATGGTTCATAAAAACTCCAATTTTTTAATCTATATGTAATAATTTTCAATCTAACTATTCTGTGTTTTTCCTGGTCATTATACACAAAATACGAAAATGATCGAAACAAACAATTTCCATCTCCTATTATTTTAACTTGAATATTATTACCAGTCATTTTATTAATATTAAATAACCCAACTTTTTAATTAATCTGTTAAAAATATTAATTATAAAATATATTTTCAATAGAAATTTTAATCGGTACTTTACAAAATTACATCAAATTTGGAACCTACAAATAAAAATGTAAATACATTAAAAATATTTCATTAACAATAATAGTAATTATTATTATTATTATATTATTTTTAAAAACTTAGGTTTAAAAATTCATTATTATTATTCATTAAAAATACTTAATAATAATAATCATTGTTATTATTGTGTAATAAAAATTTTCAAACTAATTTAATAATATAAATAAAAAAATAAATACAATAAATTTCTTTAATAATTTATTAATTTTATTTATTTAATATTTACATTTATTTTTTATTGATTTTTTCAGTAAAAATGTTAGGTTAAAAATTTCTGACAATAATAAAAAAATTAAATTATTATCATTCATTAAAAATATTTAATAATTAATAATAATAATAATAAATTCGTATGAAAGACAGGTTATATTATGAATGATTAAATAAAATAAAAATCAATAACAAATTATCAAAAAATATAATAAAGAAAAATACTTACTGAATGTTTTTATTTAATCAATATGATTTTTCCCTTTACACAAAAACTTTATTCTTTATTTTGTATGTGAATAACCATGTTTTTCAAAAATATGTAGAAAGATTATTTATTTTCAAAATGATTTTCTTTTTCCCAAAAAATTTTTTTCCCTTCAAAATTCCATAATTTTCTGTTATAATTTTATTTATATTTCAATATTTGTTCTTTATACAAATAATTTTAATAAATTAGGAATGTTATGATTCGAAAAATTATTCACATGTGATTATAAATCACATTTCAAATTAGATTTAACTAACTTCATTTGTTTCTTTTGTAATGAAAATATATTCATAGTATAAAACGTCAATTGTATCAAAATTGCTTGTGAAAATAACATTGAAACTTAACCATATAAATAATTATTGCTAAAATTTATAAATACATTGTTAATATAAAATAAATAATAGTAAAATAATTATAATTATAATAATATAATAAAATAATAAATAAAGAAATTATTGTAAAATGTCAGAACAAAATAAAAAACGTTCACTTGAAAATTCTCCCAACAAAAATTCAAATAAAAAAATAAAAATTGTAGATGTTCCATTCACAAAAACGGAATTTTTAACAACAAAATTAAGAATTAATGATAAATTTGTGTAAGTAGTTATCTTTGCATAGTAAAAAAAAATATTTATTACCTAAATTGGAGTTTTTATGAAATATTTATAGTAGGAGCATTTATTAGCATTTATTTTTAAGTGAAAATATATTTTTAATTCTTTTTTCTTTTAATTACTTTTTTCTTATTATTAATCAATGAATAATTAAATAATAATTAACTATTTAATTCAATTTTTTAATAATTATTATTATTTGTTATTAAAATAAGTATCATTCTGACGC